TGGGACAAATGGCCCGCATGTATCAACTTTTCGATGGCCGTCTTCAGCTGATGGCAGTCATCGGTTTTGTGCCCCTGATGCCGGTGGAAGCGACAATAGGGGTAGTTTGGATTGATGGATATACCTCCGGGGGTGCGTGAGAATCTCGCTCCACCAGGCCCCTCTCCTCAGCGAAGTCGAGGATGACGCTGACGGGGTGCGTCAAAGGTGTCCGAGGGTGCTCCAGGAGAACAGGCTGTGCCCAAGCCCTCGGGTTCCCCTTGTAACCTCCCCCGGGCTTGGCTTGGCCATGCCGGGGGCGGTCACCGGGGGGTGCCGAATGTTTGGGTTGATTACGGGGAGCCCCCAGCCCCCGGTTTCCTTTGTCGTCTGGCCGAGGGCGTTGCTGATCGGGGTTGTGATGGCATTTTTCCACGTCCTCGGCTTCGGCGTACCTGTTCCCCCCGCTGTAGGGCCCTTATATAATCGTGGGGGGGTTCGATGAAGAGGCTCCTTGAGAAGTTTCCGGGGCGGAGTACTGTTTGGAGGAGGGCCAGGAGGGTCCCGTCGTTTGCGCCATCAACTTTATCAGCCTCCGTTCTCCAGCGCTCCAAGAAGTCCCGAAGGGTCTTCTCTTTCCTTTGCCTCACTGTCAGCAAGTGGGAGAAGTGTTTTCTTGTGCGGCGCCTTCCCGCAAATTGTGTCAAGAATCGTTGGGCAAGTTCTTGCCATGAGTCGATGCAGCCTTCGGGCAATCGATTGAACCATTCGTAAGTCGGCCCTCTAAGGTGGATAGGAACCAACGGCACAAATATTCATCTGATGCCCCTACCATCATCATACTGTTTTGGTACCTGCTGTAGTGCTCCTGGGGTCAGTTTTCCCGTCGTAGGGCTTGATGAGTTGCCATCGGTATTTTTCCGGGATCCGGGCCGCCAATACCCTTGGGGTAAATGGCGTCCGGGTCCGGAGTTGTATGGTGGGTTCCCTGGAGCCCTCGGTTATCTTCTTCTGCATTTCCTCCATCTTGGCCAACATGGCCTCATACTTCAGGTCTGCATGGGGGCAGAAGTGGTGGCGTGTGCTTTGGTGGTCTCCATCTCGTCAAGCCAGCGCTGGAGGGCCGCAATGATTTCGTCCTGGGGGTCCTTCAGGAGGGCCTCCGCCCCCTGCGAACGGACACGGGCCGAGTGGGCCTGGTTGATTTGGTGACGGGCGTCGTCGGCATGGAGAGGTGCCTTGCCCTTGTCCTGAGGGGGACGTCTTTCATTAGCCCTGGAGACGGATCCGCCACTTTCCTGAGGCCTCTGGAGCACCTTCCCCCCGAGGCGGTCTTGGACCCCAGGGCGGTCTTGCGCCCCTCCGAGTCTTTCGAGGGCGGAGGTCCGGGGCTGTTCCTTGTTCATGTTGTGGCGGTCCCGGGATTGGACTTCCTGGGAGGCCGTATCTTGGGCCACGACCCCCTCGACGTTCCCAATCCGGAGGACAGGGTTCCCGAGGGGGTGTGGATGAGGGGGAGGCATGATATTCTCCCTGACCTGAGGTTGGAGGGGAACCAAAGTGCCGAAGGCACCCGGATTCTGGGTGAGCGTCTGGATAAAGGCGGAAAACGCCGACTGTACGTCGATAGTGATGACCAGAGGGCTAACTTGGTTCTCGCTCCGGTCCCTCTTCTTCGCATGGATGCCGAGGCGGGCATCGGGGGCATTCTGTTGAATATGATGGCGTAGGTCGACAGCCGTCTGGTCCAACCCGGCGATGACGCCGCCCCCGGGAGTCCTGTTAGAGGCTTCGGGGACGTCGACTTCGCCGAGGGCCAGGTTCCTGTCCTCAACGTTCTTGGAGTTGGCACGAGTTGTTCTCACCATTTTCGCTAGGTGTTTTGGCGAGGGGGAGGGTTTCTTACTTGATTTTTCGAGCTCTCAACGAGAGCACCAAAATGATGGTTAGTCTACCCGGGGGTATGTATCTGAAGGGTTACTGCGGGGAGTAACTAGAGAGAAGTCAGAGCAAAAGTAAGAGAGAGATAGTGTATTGCTGAGAATGTAATGAGCGATTTTAGCTTGGATTACAAATGGGGAAAATGGGCGCTATTTATAGTAGTAATAAATGCCAGATGGGGGCGCGTGTCATCATTCTGGTGATCGAGGGGTCACCTCAACGGGGTGGCACTGGCATTCGCATGTGATCGCATTAAATGTGGCTGTTGGATGTGACGTCGTACTTGGTACGGTGATCCAGGCGCATGTGGAGAGGATATTATGTCGAGAAAGGTGCCCTCGGCTGCAGATGATTAGCCCGGGGCTCTGAGTACCGGGAACCTCCTTAGTTCCGAGGGCTCTGGATGCCGAAGGCTACTGATTTTCGCCGTTTTCTCCCAATAACTTTGTTTGCTTGAGTTGGCCATCCTGTGAGAATTTGGAGCCTTCGGCCAGGGGGCCGAAGGCACCCCCAGTGTGTCACGTGGGTTGCTCAGTACTTGGGGCGCTGTGATTTGGGCCTGCTGTGCTTCCTGGGCCTATTGGGCCTCCCTTAGAATATTAGGAGTCTATGGGCCGGGGGTTCCTGGGTCATATACTCCATCAGTTTTTTATAGACATAATTTACATTTCAAAAGAACGTTCTCACAAAAAATTCTATTCGACAGAGGGTCGATGGATGTTATGTCGGCCTATGGATGTTATGGTTAGAAACGCTTGACATGAATATTACTCTATATATACAATGCTTTGCTAGTTTGCTGTATGCTTTAGTTTAGGATATATTAATGTGAATTACTCTCTCCGTCCCGCTAAGATTGTTCTAGCTCCTATTCACTTGGTCAACACAAATCACTCTTAATCTCTTACTTTATACGGAGTATATCAAAATTTTATCAAATTTGATTCTGATTTTTGCGACTTTGTAAAACTTTAGTGTAGTTTCTGTATATGTTTTTTTATACTACGCAAAATAATTTGAATACATACATGAATTTGTTTGCTTTATCATCGATCAAACATCATTAATCGAATTGTCCTAATCTTAGTGGAACCTATTAGTATTGAGGTATTTACCTAAATAGGACTAAATCAGTTTTTAATTGACAAAATAGGACCAAAGTTTACAAATTCCCCAAATAAGAGTTATTATTTGTAATCAGACAAAATTAACCCCAAGCTTGGAAGTCATACTCCCGCAGACCACAACACTGGACCACAGCCATTCGCCGATCGCCGCCATTCACCGCCGGTCGCCGCCGGTAGCCACCGGTCGCTGGACATCGTCGAAAACCTCAAAAATTGGCCGTCATTGTAGATCTGCCAGCCGTCGTTGCAGATCTGGCGGCCGCTGCCGGAGATCTGGCCAGATTTAGCCTCCGTCGGCCGTCGGCCACTGTCCCTTCAGATCCAGCCACCTTCGCAACTACTCCGGCATCCGCCGTTACATATCTACCCAAAATTTTTATCAGAATGCCATCTTAAAGGCATTTTCAAATAAAAATTCAAAAATTTTTAAGACTAAAAACGCCATTTTGATGGCATTTTCAGATTTAACTTGGCATTTTGTAATCAAAGAAGAAAAATTAGAGAAGAGAAGCAGATCTACGGAGAAGAAAAGTTTATCTCCGACGACAGCAGCGACGGTGGCCTTCGCGACTGAGGCAGCGATGCCTAGGGATGGACTAAACCGGCCCGGCCCGACCCGGAACCGGCCCGTTACTGTTTGGGCTCGGACCGGACCGGGACCGGGACCGGTTGGCCGGTTCCGGGCTTTTAGCCCATTTGGGCGAGTCGGGCGGGCCGGGCTCGGGCCCAACTTTTGGTGAACCGGCCCGGGCGGTTCGGCCCGGGCCCGGTTCATTTTTTTTTGTTTTTCAATTTTTTTTCTTTTCTAGGTTAGGGTTGAGTGTTTTGGGGGGGGGGGGGGGGTTGGGGGTGGGGGTGAAGGGGGGGGGGGTTGAATGTTAATTAGAAACCAAAAAAAAAATTGAACTTGACCCGAGCCCGCCCCGGCCCGGCCCGGTTAGGCCCGGACCCGGTATCAAACCGGGCCGGTTCCGTGCCCAACATTTTGCAAAAAAAGCCCGCCCGGGCCCGGCCCGGGTCCATCCCTAGCGATCCCTATGAGTGAGCTTGTAGGTTCATTGTGGGGGAAAGAGAAGAAGAGTGATGCGCTGGGGGATGAGATCGATGTGTGTGCAGGTAGGATAAAATATAGGGAAGAAAATAAGGGTAGAAGAGTAATTTAGTCATATTTCAAGAATAAAAATATACATGATCCTATTTAAGAATTTCAGGAATAATTTAGTCCTATTTCGACAATATTTGATTTGTATTTTGAACCTTACCTCCAAATATCGAATTCGCCCTTTTTCAGGAACTGTTGATATCTATAACTGTGCGTTTACTCGAACAGTGTAACTTCCGCCATCATTTTAAACTCCAACGCTGCTTAACTCATTACCAATAGCACTGATCTTTCAACCGTATTTTAACCTTAGAACATACATCACAGGAATCTTGAAAAAGATCATATTTTTCATTTTTGTATGACACTGCTTTGTCGGCCAACTGCATCCTGCGGAAAGTGCACACCCCCATGTGCGCGCCCCACCCGTTCGGTCAAATGCCCCACTGTAGAAATCATCCCAAAGAAGCAAAATTTTCTCTTTTGCAAACATTTGAACGCATTTGGTGGCAAGTCTGTGCTCCATCCAGGGAGGTTGGAAATGAGGATAGAAGGGAAATAAAATATTAGTTTAATCTGAACCAGGTATAACTACTGCGAGTTATTTTAGACTATTAATTCAGAAAGATAGTATTTTTACTTGTAGTAGTAGAAAGGAAAAGGAATGCTATGCTCAAATATCAAAGTCATAAATAATTGAGCAACTTCCTTATTAATTTTTTCATAAAGCAGACAGAGATACTTTGGACATCAATAATGTGTATGTCTTTCCCATTACAGTGACTTGACGGAATATTCAATGTTACAATGTTCTTGTCTTCTGTTTTGCATTAGATCCAAGAATATTAGTGGATTCAGTTATACAGCAGGTCTGCAGCTATCCTAGCTGTACTGCCATAACTTATACGGGATTAGTGCTTAGTTATAGGTTTAATTTATTAGTTGTTTGAATTGGTTTCAACATTCAATGAGGCAATCATCATTACCCGAGCTGTGGTGCTGGGCATTTATTTTTCTGGGTGCCTACCATTGTTTAGTAGATGCAAATCAAGAGCATGATCGGATAACATACTTGCCAGGTCAACCAACAGGCAATGTTGGATTCAATCATTACTCAGGCTATGTGACCGTGAATGAGACTGCCGGGCGGGCACTGTTTTACTGGTTGATCGAGTCACCAGCCAGTATAAATCCTGAAAAAAGGCCACTCATTTTGTGGCTCAATGGAGGGCCCGGCTGCTCTTCCGTTGCTTATGGTGCTGCTGAAGAGATTGGACCATTTCACGTCAACCCTGATGGGAAGACTCTTTACCTCAATCCTTATTCTTGGAACAAGTGTATGATGATGAATCAATGTTGATGTCGTTTTAAGTCAGCTGTCTGTCTGTTCCATGATATATTTCTGATGTGAACTCCTTAACATTTGTTCTGTCAGTGGCAAATTTGCTGTTTCTTGAGTCTCCAGCTGGTGTGGGTTTCTCGTACTCAAATACAACCTCAGATTTGCAAACCGGGGGTGATAACAAAACTGGTATTGCTTATTGGTGCATGCTTCTTTTTAGTTCTGATATTTTTATTTAATTTTTAATGTGTTTGACTTGGAACTCCTGTTTTGTAGCTGAAGATGCATACGCATTTCTTCTTAAGTGGTTTGATAGGTTCCCTCAATACAAGCATAGAGATTTTTACATTGCTGGAGAAAGTTATGCAGGTTTGTAGCGGTTGACTTTCACACTCTTGATTCATTTAAAACATATGATAAAAACAAGTCAACAACAATACATCATAATGTCATTACTATGAGTGAAAACTTTATTAACTTATGCGTTGACCTTTTCAGGGCATTATGTTCCACAGCTATCTCAAATTGTCTACCAAAGAAACAAGGGAAACAAGAACCCCACTATTAGTTTCAAGGGCTTCTTGGTATGACTATTGAACACTTGCAAGCTTCTTTCATTTTATGTACTCTCTTAAGCATCCCACATAAGATATTAAGATGTTTACATGATTTGTGTCTGATATTTAAGTATAAGGTAATTCCACCTATTAAGGATGTTTTTGGGTGAGTTATAAACGCAATTTACTATAGAATCATATTTTAGTCCTTTTAAAGTTTGTTAATTGATTTGGCAGCCCATAATTTGGAGTAGCCTTGTTAAGGTCAGTTTGTTTAACTCTAAAATTGTTCGGGCCAATTTGGGCTGATAAGGTGTGCTAAATGTTTCACATTGCATCTTTATTAGATTTGTGTCTATTAGGGAATAGGGATGGACTTAAGGGGGGCGGAGGCCTCCCTTGGAACATAAAATCATTTGCATAAAATTTTAATACTTTTATTAGACATGCACATGTTTGCTCCCCATAAAAGTTGTAGAGTTATAAGGAGAAAAAAACTAAAATTGTTTATTTTTTAATTTTCTTCAGGAACATCAAAGTTAATAAATTCTTGATTTAAACAAACAAATAACAGAAAAACTCATTGATTGATGATTTACGAAGTAGGATACTCAATTTATAAAATAGAATACTATTTCTTGTAAAAATATCTTCAATAGATAAAATTTACATGATTTTGTAAATGTCAAGCAATATATTAAAAATACCATTGACTGTAGTTAAGTAGTTTTTCAGATGAAGTTCCAGTGAAACCAAATGTAAAAGCTCGTTTAACATTGAAATTGGTGCCCAATTATTTAGTCTCTAAAAATGCCCTATATGATAAGCAGTAAACTTTTAATATCCTCGCACGAGTACACAACATATTCACATATAACATAAATCAATAGTATTTTACAAATACCACATAATATTATATTTAGAATCGATAATCTCATATGTATATTCAGAATAAAAAATCCCATACGTACAACTTATTAACTTATAAACATACAACTTCAACAAAAAATATAATTCAAGAATTTGACTATTTATTCTAAGTTTCTAACAAGATTCATGTAGTTAAATAAAGAAAAAATTATTTAAAATAGAATAGCCTGGTGTGCACCAGTGCCCCTATTATACTCTATCATTAAATAAATTGATAAATCTTCTAACCAGTTTATGATAATCAAATAATTTTTACTTTAATGTGGTCTCATTTATGCTGTTTTATAGCACTTGTATTATGAAAACTAAGGGGGTGTTTGGATTTGATTCTTAAAACTGCTTCTGCTCCTTCAGGGAGTAGAAGCAGAAGTTGGAATGTTTGGGTAAAAGTACATAAGTGATTCTGGTGCTCTAATTTACTCCTAGAATCAGTTTTTTTAGAAGCTTGGGGTGACCAGTTTCTGAAAACTGATTCTGATTCTGCTTCTGCTTTAAAAAAGAAACAGAATCAGAATCAGTTCCAAACACCCCCTAAGTTATTCACTTCGTAAATTTAAGGTGTAATGCTTTTAAATGTCTTTTTAAATGTTAATGGAAATGTTTTTTTATTTCTGTTGTGTAACAGAAAACTAAAATCAACGGGATAAACCGTTGCCCAGATAATCAACGAAAAAAATACCGTTGCCCAAAGCCAAAAGGCTTAAACCAATTTTATTCCAAGATACGATAGAATGAACCCTGGCAAGGTGTATAAATAGCCTTCTAAGAGAAACCCTATTCAAGCTCAAATTAATTAAATCCTGATTAAGCCCATAATAACTCTACTAAGTACTCTACTAATAATAGGCCCAAAGTAAAACATAGCATTAACTTAATAATAATAAATAAACTCTAATGACAGCCCTAATCCGGCCCACGGAAGTGGGCCTAAGCCCGGTCCCGCCCCATGCTCTTCCCGCTCTCCATCAATCCATCCTCCTTCAAAATAACCTTGCCCTCAAGGTTGAAATCCGGAAACCGGCTCACATTTGTCCCCGGGGGCTGCCCAGTATCTTTAGGAAAAATTGAGATGTATTCCTCCCCAGTCCCTGTCTGCTTGACTCCGGGCAGCCGTTCAAAGCAATTGCCCTTAAACCGTGAGTCAAAACGAGCCACCAATGCCTGTGTAAGCTCATCCCATGACATGACCGCCTTTCGTGCCCGTAACCAGGTCAACCAATATAAGGCTGGCCCTTCCATCGCAACTACAATGGCTGTCACCTTCTTTCCCGGCGGAGTACAGTTCAATTCGAACTGCTGATCAGCCCTATCAACCCAGCTGATCAGTTCTTCTCCGTTAAACGAGGGCAACATCGTGAGAAAGGTGCTGCACAGTCCAATTCCAAACAAGGATGCTGCTGCCGCGTCAAGTGAAGACACCGCCGTTGAATGCTCCTCCACCACTGGCGGCGCGAGAGCCTCTGTAAACGCAGCCAAGGAGGAAGTGACGATGCACGGCTGTTTGTCGCTGCTGTGCGCAGATACGGTGGGGTTGCCAACCACGTCCAGGCGTATTTCCGTCGTGACCGGAGGAATTAGCGCCTTGGTAAGCGGTGACAGGGAGCGGCAATCTCAGCCAGACGCATGCCGTGCTCCTCTAGGGTTTGATTCATCCGAGTTTGCTTGGCAACCATCTCTGTCAAGCGGTCGATCTGAGATCTCATCATCCTGGCGGGACGGGATCCAGCAGGTCAGACCAATTGTTGTGTACCAGAAAACTAAAATAAACGGGGTAAACCGTTGCCCAGATAATCAACGATAAAAATACCGTTGCGTAGAGCCAAAAGGCTTAAACCAATTTTATTCCAAGATACGATAGAATGAACCCTGACGAGGGGTATAAATAGCCTTCTAAGAGAAACCCTAATTAAATCCTAATTAAGCCCATAATAACTCTACTAAGTACTCTACTAATAATAGGCCCAAAGTAAAACATAGCATTAACTTAATAATAATAAATAAACTCTAATGACAGCCCTAACCCGGCCCACGGAAGTGGACCCAAGCCCGGTACCGCCCCATGCTCTTCCCGCTCTCTATCAATTTCTCAATAAAAAGTATTTAGAGAGCACTACCAAAAAAATCGCTCCCTTGGGCATAAACCCTGGACCCATGCTGTTTCTTGATGATAGCTTTGGGTGAGTTAGACCTAATTTATTATTCTTGGTTAAAAAAGTAAACTTAGTTAAATTGGACATGCTATATAAGTAGGAGTTCATGGCTAAAAGAGTTGTAAAATAACTAAAAACGACCCTCTTTATGGGGCAGAGGGACTCTGGGAGTAATGATCTTCGAACCAGTTTCATTAATCAGTGGTACTCTTCCTTTTCATTTAACCTCTATTTTATTTTTTTAAAGGTGGGGAATGCAGTAATTGATGATCACCATGACTTAATTGGCACATTTGAATATTGGTGGACGCATGGTTTAGTCTCAGATTCCACATACAAGTTTCTGCAAAAAGCTTGTGATTCAGGATCTGCTACACATCCTTCAGAAGATTGTATCACGGCTCTTAATATTGCCCAACATGAGCTGGGAAATATTGATCCTTATAGCATATACACTCAACCCTGTGCTAATGCTTCATCGCTTAGGCACAATTTGAGGGGTCATTATGTGAGTAATTTCTTGTCCAACTTGTATTGCTCCCTTATCAGCTTCACAAATACCTAAGTGTTGTTTGAACCTTGGTGATGACACTCAAATGCTGTAGATCAAGTAGATTGTAGATAGGCTGTTTTAATTGTCACATTTAGTGTCCGTTTTGCAGACTTTTTTTCCAGCCTATCAGCCAAAACCTGCCAAATTTTTCACAAAACACTAACTTATTTCACTTTTCCCTGTGTTAATCAGCTGATAATGGAAAACAGTAGAGTATAAGTTACTCTTTTTGTTGAAATGGCTCTAGTTATTAAAAATAACATGCCAGCCTTCATTTTATTTATTTTTTTAGATTTATTCAGAAATTTGAGCAATTTTCAGCCACAATTGCACATGATTTAGGCCTTTAGCCACTTCAGCCATTTTTTGCCTTACCAAACAAGCTCTTAATTACTATCAATTTTGGCAAATCAAGTATATAGCGCTGCTTTAAAGGTTTCTATTTCTTTCATTTATCTCACTTCAATTCCTCTGGTATTCTTCAAATGGCAGCCATGGATGTCCAGAGCTTATGATCCATGTACTGAGAGGCACTCTGAAGTTTACTTTAACCTACCAGAAGTGCAGAAGGCCTTTCATGCCAATGTAACTCAAATTCCCTATCCATGGAGCACATGCAGGTGAGTACCATCAATATGATTTTTTTTGGATCCAATGTCTAATTTGTTAGCCTTAGCTAATTTGAAGCTCATTACTCTGTAGTGATGTTGTTAGTAACTACTGGGGAGATTCTCCTGTATCAATGCTTCCTATTTATAGAGAGTTAATAGCTGCTGGTCTCAGGATATGGGTATTCAGGTATAACCTAAGATGTTTTTTTTCCTTTCTCTTCTTTCATGGTGCAATTACCTTTACCACACCATATATGAGACCATCTTCATTCAAATCTTGTATTCATTAAAATTCAGTTGCACTTCATTGATCAAATTCAAATTGTGACACAATATGGAACGTGAGATCCATCCAAGTTCCATATTTCTAAATGTAGTCTTTCAAAGGACTTTAACTCTCATCATTACGACTTCCATCTCTACAAATATACTACGTATATGTTTTTCTGCTAAATTAGTAAGGCAAAGAAGACTTTTTATGAGATAGGAGTATTATATGAGTGATAAAAAAAAGTTCCTCTTTGGTAGGTTTCTTTGCAGTGGCATAGCCCCCCCTCCCCAAAGATAAGAAAATAATTTGGGTCGGGTTAGATAATTTAATTAATTCATTATTTTTATATGAAAAATAATGAATTATTTTTTACACACCGTAGGTGGGGAGCCTTTGCGGCACTGGGGTAATGGTGATGGTGTATTATTTTTATATGAAAAAATTACACACAAAGATTTATTTTACCGAACCTAGGTTTTACCCCTACCTACGCCCATGTTTCTCTATGCTTATCAACAAGAATTTTTACAAACCACTAACTTATTTCACTTTGCTTGTTGAACCTGTTGACAATGAAACAAGTAGTGCAAAAGTTACTCCATACTTTTTTGGCTTAAGTGGTTGAAATTATGAAATTGGCACTTTTTAGTTTATTTTTTTTTTAAAAAAAATATATGCTTTATATTTTAAATAATCATTTAGGCGATTCAGCATTTTCACCTTCAATTTTCGCTTCGTAGAATAACCACTTCAGCCATTTTTGGCCATACATACCAAACATGATTAAAATTTCATGCTTCAACCTTATCTATTAAAAACCACTGTTACCAGCTTTCGGTCACATTAGTTGTTTAAGAGCTTTCGGTTGGCCTGAGCCTTAGGTGAATGTTTCAAACCTGAATTTTTAAGATCTGATCTGGTCCGAATCTTTGTTATAAGATTTGATATGAATGTTTCTGATTTGATCTGAAACATTCGAATAATTGGACACACCCTACAACAATAACATACGAATAATAATAACAATTACAACAACAACAACAATAATAATATAGTGTGATAAGGTTATTATTATGTTCAATTTAATAGCAAAGACTATAATTTACATTTATATTAGTATACCAATAATAATATAATAATAATAATCATCATAATGGTAGTGATAATAAAAATAATAATAACAACAATAATAATCATAATGGTAATGATAATAATCATCATCATAATGATGATGATGATGATAGAAATAGTAAAATGTCTGGACTTTTCTGATATGAATGCTTCTGATATGATCATCTCATCGGAATCTTTTTGATTTGATTTGATTTGATTTTCTCTGATCGGATAAGAATAAAATAAGAATAAACAATAAGCCATAACATTAAGACAAACAGAACAGGTCCTTAGTCTAGGGAGGCGGAACAGATTCAAACCAATGCCACTATCTAAAAAGAGGTGTAGCTCGCCACTAGATTACAAGACTCTAATGCTTTTACCTTTTTATGCTCAACAAAGTCAATTCTTTTGAATATTATACCTTAGTAATGCTGCAAGTTAAAGTATATCCAGAGAGGATTGTGGTTCAAATTAGACACAAATGGCTCCAAAGAGTTGACATTGTAAGGGGTAAAGGATCAAGAGGTGGTGTTAGAATTTTGTAATCTCAATGGTCACACATAAATAATTTCCCCGAGCATTGGTGCTGTTAGAATTTTGACTTTGTTCTTTTTCCTGCATCTGGTGAGATTTAAAAAAGAGAGAAAATCTTTTTCAAAAAAGGGTACACGCAAAAGTTATTTTACATGCTTTATTTACCACATTTTTCCTTTTGTTTTTGCAGTGGGGACACTGATTCTGTGGTTCCAGTAACTGCAACTCGGTATTCCATTGATGCATTGGAGCTTCCAACAATTACGAACTGGTACCCTTGGTACGATAATGGAAAGGTTAGTAAAAAGAAAGTTTTTTCTTTCTTTTCACAGACAGGTTCATGCTCATTTAAAACTACTACTACAATAAATAAGCCCATTTAACTTGACAGACAGTAATGGTGGCTTACGACAAGTCGTTAACCTAATTATTAAGGCCATAGAAAGCTCACACAAAATGAACAAATAGGACTACATGTATTTATTTCAGAAATGAGACTCATTTGATCCTATTTAAAGTATAAAACTTCCTCTATTAGGTGTCAATATAAGTCTTATTTGGAACCTGCAGAAATCAGAAACAAATTAAAAGGGTTATGTTGTCTGATGGACCGAGGCTGTGTTTTTGTCTGCTTATGTTCCATCATTTTCAATGGAGCCAAAGACTCACTATTTTTTGGCTAGGGAATATGATGGAATAAAGCAAAATGGCTCACTAAACTGTCTGCGCTTCTTTGTTACGAAGTAACGGTCAGCCTATGCAATTTTCGACGTGATTTTCACTACGGGTCATTTGGAAATGGTCTCTCTGTGCTTTAGTACAGGGGTAAGGCTGCGTACATCCGACCCCCCCTTACCCCACCGTAGGTGGGAGCCTTTGCGGCATTGGGGTAATGATGATGATGATGTTCTCTTCGCTCTATTAGGTTGGGGGATGGAGCCAAATATACAAAGGGTTGAGCCTTGTGACTGTAACTGGGGCAGGGCATGAGGTACCATTACATCGCCCGCGACAATCTTTTATTCTGTTGAGGTCATATCTGGAGAACAGACCCATGCCAAGCTCATAACCCATTCATTCCTTCATTTATCACAGGCATCCAATGCCAAAGGTTTGTATTATATGTATTGTTTTGAATTTGCGAAAGAAGACTGTAAGTAATCTATTTATTTCTTGGTGTATATGAAGACTGATCACAAATCCAACAATGTACCGTTTACTGTGAAATTTAGATTACTTAATATATATGTGCTGTCATTGAATTTTAATTGACAAAATGTAAGTAATCTATTTATTTCTTGGTGTATATGAAGAAGTATCTTACCATTCAACTCTGCTCAATTTTGGAATGATGAAAAATGCTTCATTTTAACAAGGTCTTAGAAAAAGGCTCATAAATTTGGCGTTAGCCAACTACACATAGAAAACACAATAGACATAGATCTTTAAAAGTAGAGTACGGTTTTTCGCAGCATTGATGGACTGGATGCCCAATGTTATGCACAATTTATCGTTTTGCATAAAATGATAATTCTGCATAACTTTGATCATCAAGTTGGAACGGTTGGATCAAACTTGTGGGGATATAGGTTCGGAAAAAATTTGTTCATAAAATGGTATATTAGAAATTTAGAATGTAAGACACCATTTGTATTGGAGCCCGAAAGGGCTGAAAGCGATCACTCTAAATGTTTTTCGTGCATGTAGAGGGTTAAAATAACATTGTTTTGATATATCTTATTAAAATTGTGAGAAGATAAAATTTGAGCCGAGAAACAATGGAGGTGCTAATGACTTCACATGAGCCTAATTCAATTTTAATTACATGTAGGAGTGGACTCGGCCCGGGCCAACCGGCTAGGAACCGGACCGGCCCACTACTGTGTGGGCCCGGACCGGCCCGGTGAACCGGTTGGTTGCCCGGTTCGGGCCACCCGGCCTGGTGGGATGGCGGTTCGGGCTCGGGCCCTTCAAAAGGTAAACCGGCCCAGCCGGTTCGGGCCCGGGCCAGACCAATTTATTATTATTTTTTTTTGAATTTTTTTAAGTTTTTGGGTTGGGCTGAGTATTTTGGGCCATTTGAGGTGGTTAGGGTTGGTTTGGGGGTGAGGGGGGGGGGGGGGGGGGGGTTGGGGTTAACTAGGAAAAGCCAAAAAAAAAAAAAAAGAACCGAGGCCCGGCCCGGACCCGGGGATTACCCGGGCCGGTTCTGGGCCTCCCCTTCATGAACCGAGGCTCGGCTGGGCCCAGGCCCGAACCGGGCCCGAACCGGAACCGGTCCACCCCTATTTACATGCATTCATCTATGCAGGGGTTAAACTTTTATTATGATATATGCAGCACGCTAGCACTTGTAATCCATATAATGAAAATTCATATGCAATATATACACTAACACACGTTTTATTTCCCTAATTTGTCCCTAATTTTCATGTCCCTATTTTAGAAGGGGGTTTGATGCATTATATGGAAGGTTCCGAGCTCGAAACATCATGAAAACTAGGGCTGCACAAGAATAAATCGAACCCGCATAACCCACCCGACCGAACCCTACCCGACCCTATTTAATCGGGTATTTGACTTTTAAAAATATTAATGGGTTAAATATGATTGAACCCGCACCTAATGGGTAGGGTTGCGGAATTAAAATCTCCAACCCGATAGTACCCGACCCGACCGAAGTTCATTTTACTATTATTATGCTACAATGTTTTCTTGGATAATTTCAATTTAAGACCAATGTGCTCTATCTAGGACTTTATGATACTAGAATTATAATTAAACATTTACCATTTTGACTAGGTGATTATTATATATTTATGTTTCCTTCTAAATGATCTTCCTTTACGGAAGGATGTTTTAATACTATTATCTAATGTTTTGCTTATAAAAGATATGAGTACTTGTATTTGTTTGTGTGTTTTGAAAACAAATTAATCGAGTTTTAATTTGGTTACATTAATCTCCCACATAAAGATGCAATCTGAAGTGATTTTTTTTTCAATACCCGACCCTATCCGACCCGTTCATGCATGATTTACCAACTTATTTTGCGTATCGCGGGTTGAATAATAGCCAACCTGAACAAATCGGGTAGGTCCAAAAAATATAGCAAACCCGACTCAATCCGCCCGATGTGCAACCCTAATGGAAACGTTGTCAACCACTTTTACTTTAGGTTCCCCTCCCCCTAAACCTTAAAAAGAATAACAAAAATAATTCTTGAGGGGCTGGGTCCCCCTCCACCACTTTCCACCTCCGTTGAGGGTGATGAATTTGATGACATGAGTACATCGATTTTTGAGAAACTTGTTTTTGCACATATACTTGCATCATTTTCAATGGGGTATTGAATTATAGTGAAGTCTATTCTACATGGCATAGGAGAGTGATATAGATGGGTAAGTTATTTTAATTTAAGGAAAACAAATAAGCCTCTGTACTATTTCCAAATCGTCAGTTAAGCCCATGTACTAAAAAAGTATCATATCAGTACGTCTACTTTACAAAATTGATCAATTTGACCATTTCATCAATTTTTGACCTGTAATAGCAGGTTTTTAATACTTAAACGTTCTAAAAAAATTGTTAAAAATTGAAGGAATATATACAAAAATTGTGAAAATTTTCTGAATAACAAAGTCAATATTTTTTAATTTTTAAAAATATTTTTATATTCCACATCTATTTAAAAGGCTTTTAAAGTTTTTCTTTTTTCTTTTTTTATTTTCACATTATTTTTTCAGTTTTATAATTTTTATATCATTTTTTTATTTATTTTTAAATTTTATCTTTTTATATTTATACTCTTTTTATATTATTAATAAATTATTTATTCAACTTTATATAAAGTTGTTGGTCCAAAATAGGACGCTCGTAGGCTTTTAGGAAAGCTACGTACGACACTCAAACAGGAATCAAGAAACTAATATGAATAAGGAAAGTCGCAAAGGGAATTTGGTAGCCAAAAATAGCATATAGAAGTTGCTTCCTTAGTTTGAATTACAAAGTGCCTTTTATAGGCGTATACAATTCGTAACCGCTACCGATAATAATGACTAATTAATTACAACATTAATACAGAATTAAATACATAATTAAACGTGCATTAATTGCTTGACTGTTACTTTTCCTGGCTGGCAGGTCGGCCAAACTGGCAGGCTCCCCGTTGGGATGGTAGGCAGGCTCTAGGTTGTGGACCTGGATCCACGGGTCCAAGTTCGGGGCTTGGGCCGATTAGGCTCTGGGCCTAGTCCCATAACTCCATCACGAGTCCCCCACTCCCTTAGTCGAGTAGTAGACTCGGCTAAGAGGGAGTAGTCCAAGTCAGCTGCCCTTCTCCGAGACTGGAAGATATGTTCCCTTGTCCATGTTGGGGAGATACCTCATTAAAAACCTTCATTAGGAAAAAACCCAATGGGAAAAAATCCTAATGAAGGAAAAAAGAGTACACCTGATGCCCCCAAGATGAAACAAAGGGTGAAATCTTCAGCCTTTATTGCAATGGTCACCATCAGCAAAGAGGATGGCTAGAACCGTTCTTCTCATCGGGCTCAGACTCATCAGGCTCGTCTTCGTTCAGTTGTACCTACACATAAAACAACAAGTGTAAAATAGAGCATCTGACCCGGTTCTGAACCATGGTTCAGTGAGTAAGCGAGTCAGACTCACTACTTGAAAAGAGTGACATCAAGTTCCCAAGTTAGGCCTCAACCCAGTCTCCGAAAGAAAGATTGAATCCGCGAGTAAGTGACTCGGAGTCACCATTCGAATGGATAATCCAAGCTCAGTGAACTAAAGTATATCAACCTTTTCTGGAAATGTGAATGTCAATTAAGTGACAAAATTGCTCGGGAGAACATGGTTCTAGGCCTCTAGCAAGAGTTTAACTCGCCGCCCGAGGTTAGTAGTTCAAACCCGCAAGTAAAAACTTTTGAACGGGTGACTCGTCCCCCGAGGTCGGAGTGTGATGCACTAGGAAGAGGTAAGAGCACACAAGAACTCGTATGAAGTCAAGAGTGTGCGGTATCAACATTTATATTGGAGCTTATTAATCGTCACACCCATATGACGTGACCCGGTGGTGCGAGTGTGTGTGCTCGGCCAGTGTACGAGTGTGTGTGCTCGTCCGGCGTACTTGAATGATCAGATTTCATAAGTCCGTTGTTCAATGTTAAAATTACACACACTTAACAAGAGTAAACGCAATATATCACTTAAAATATCTTTTCAAATGTTTTAATTTATGATTTTTTTGTATCAAACATAGAGGATATTTGAAAACTTAGCTTTAGAACCAAACGGGCCCGAATGAGTTGCTGAAAATGCAGTCCGTCGTCATCCTTGAGGAGAATCAATTTTGGTCTTAGTGTAATCTTGGCCCATTCACTTTAACGCAGAGCAGATTCTTGCTCCATAGGAATTATGTGGGCGCACATTTGAAGGCCTATCTCATGAATAGGCGTGGCGATGAGGGAGACCAGCAGCAACGTCGGCGCACAACATCCAGCTGTGATTGGCGAAGAGAACAGCAGGAAGTGGAACTGTAGCACCTTGGATTGGGATGAATTTCTTGATTTTTTTCCTACTAAAGTGATGTGAGAGATCAATAGAGGCTCTCAATGAAAGCACCAATGTTGGTCCAAAATAGGACGCTCGTAGGCTTTTAGGAAAGCTACGTACGACACTCAAACAGGAATCAAGAAACTAATATGAATAAGGAAAGTCGCAAAGGGAATTTGGTAGCCAAAAATAGCATATAGAATTTGCTTCCTTAGTTTGAATTACAAAGTGCCTTTTATAGGCGTATACAATTCGTAACCGCTACCGATAATAATGACTAATTAATTACAACATTAATACAGAATTAAATACATAATTAAACGTGCATTAATTGCTTGACTGTTACTTTTCCTGGCTGGCAGGTCGGCCAAACTGGCAGGCTCCCCGTTGGGATGGTAGGCAGGCTCTAGGTTGTGGACCTGGATCCACGGGTCCAAGTTCGGGGCTTGGGCCGATTAGGCTCTGGGCCTAGTCCCATAACTCCATCAAAAGTTTTGTAGGATTTATCAATATTCCTAATTTAATTAAAAAAAAAAATTAACCTACTATATCAGGTCAAAGGGCTTGGTTGTTTGTATTTTAAAAGTAGACGTACTTATATGATAACTTTTTTTAGTACAAGGGTTTAAATGATGGATTAGAAATAGTAGAAGGACTTATTTGATCATTTTTCCTTAATTTAATAAAGAGAAAGTTGTGTGTAGAGAAAAATGAGAAAGATGAAAGAGATCGATATAAATTGTAAACAATGTCTTTGACAATGTCCACA